AGGGATGCATGGGGGGTGTCAGGAGGCTGGGAGTGCTAGAGGGTTCCCATGTCACTTTCCAGGGCATGTTGGCAGCTGGGGGTATTGGGCAATTGGGGCTGAAGTCGTCCCACACCACTTAAAAGAGGAGGCCAGTGAGTGGAGGGTGGAGTCAGGTGACTAGGGGCACCAGCATGCTCCCACACCACTTGACAGAGTGGGTAGGTGGACAAGGGCCAAGTTGAACTATCAGAGTCACTGGCTCACTCCTGCATTGCACAGTGGGGCAGACAGGGAGGCAAGGAGCAGGGTTGGATAACTGGGGGCTCAGCTCACTCCCAAACCACTCAGCAAAGCAGGTTAGCATGTGGGGCATCAGGTCAGGTGACTGTGGGCTCTACAGCTCTCTTGCACTGCTTGGCAGGGTTAGTTGGAGGAAAGTGGGTAGGGTCAGGTGGCCAAGGGCTCCAGAGCTCTATCAGTTGATGGATCAGGAGACTGGGTGGGAAGGAAAAATGATGGGGTTCATACTGTATCTTGGGTGGCCAGGGCTGCAGGGATGGGTGGGTTGTACCTCTAATCACTCAGGGTTTATGTGGAGGGGGAGTGTGTTCCTCTACTCACTGGGCAAAGGTACCTGGGCACTTCTTGTTGGCTACAGCCAAGAATTGGGATGTGGCCTCAGTCAAGTGCAAAGTAAGGGGACTATTCATAGTATGGTAGGGTGGAGAGCATCCTCCTGTTGACACTCTGTGCATCTATTACTCTGTGTGCCACATACTCTGATTACCAGGGATTGCTGCTGGTGTACAGTGGTTTCTGGGCCTTGGCTCTTTCCCTGTTCTATGGATACCAGGGTCCCTGGAACTCTCACTGACCTTCCTGTCCTTTCCCTTCTTAGAACCAGTTTATGCCCTGCTCATCTTGCTTCACTCTGGGTATGTCAGCATAGTTGCTCTGTTCCCTGTTGGGAATTCCATGCAGTTGCCTTTCTGTGCTTTTCTCCTGGGATCACTCCTGGCTTTGTCCCAAGATGGCCATGCTGTGCCAAGTCAGCTAGTAGGGCAACTCCACTCCATATCTCTCCTCATTTGTTGTTTTTGGTCAGTTTCTCCTTCTATTCAGGGTTCAGTTTAATTTTTCATCTATTCATTTGATGATCAGGGTTCCAGGATTGTCCTCTCTGCTTCACTTGGTTATTAAGGGTCTTTGCTGTAGAGAGATGGCAAATGTGTCTGACTAGTATACCATCTTATCTACTACTTGGCTTGCTTTTTCATGGAAAGGACTACTTGAACATGTGTATTTACTGGTGGAAATTACTTCAGAGAGGATTGAGGAGAGCGAAAAAATATCTTAAAGTGATAAATTAAGGGAAGGAGTGTGTGGGCGAGATCATCCTCTTCCTCCCTTGTAATTGGATAAAAGATAGATACCATGAAATGGGGTGCAGATGCAGGTGGAATTTTGTCTTTGGTGGCAGGAAGTGAGGTTATATGGTGGGAGGAAGGGATGTGGTTTGTTTGCAAGAGGAAAGAATATAATTGTCTTGAAGGGTGGAAAACATACTGCTAGGGAAATGAAGAAAAAGTGCCAAACAGTGTTGAATGTCCATTGAGATCTGTGAGTGGTTCTCGGTGCAGGGTAATTTTGCAAAGCCTCTCCCCCAGGGACATTTGTCAATTTCTGAAACATTTTTTGTTGTTACGGGGGAGAAAGGGAGGATACTATTGACATATAGTAAATAAAAACTGGGGATGCTGCTATACATATTACAATGCACAGAAGTCTACACAAGGAATTATGTGGCCCAAAATATCAATAAGAGCAGAAGAAATCCATTGAGTGGCTGAAGAAAAGAGAAAAAGATCATTTGAGTGAGAAGTAAGAATGCAAGAAACCAGGTATTTGAATGAATCCCTCAGATCAGTGGCTTCTTCTGAAGAATGGCTTGTTAATAATAGTGGGAGATACCACTTGTTGATGTCCTACTATATCAGTTACTTTATGTGTATATCAGCTCTCTTTAGTTCAAGAAAGCTCAAGAAACCATCCTAGAAACTGCATAGTAAGTAAAGGAACAAAGATTTAAATCCAGTTTTTTTAGTCCAAAGCCTGTGCCCTTTTCACTATACTATGGCTTTGTCCCTAGGAAAGACAAGTTTTCATCAAATCTATACAAAGTTAGATGAGCTTAAATCTGGCAACATTTGTAATGGCAATGATGGGTAGGGAGAAGTGAAGAAGAAAAGGGAAATTGAAGGAAGGAGGGCCTGGCAAAAATGAAAGATTTGTTTCAGAGTTCTTCCCACCCCAATAGATTCTTTTTAAGGTGGCTGTATTAGCAACATCATGACAAATGGAGAAATATTGAAGTTGTCAAATATTTCATATTACTTGGTTCCACAATCAACACCCATAGAAGCAGCAGTCAAGAAATCAGATGAGGTATCACACTGGGCAAATCTGCTGCAAAAGATGTGTTGTTTGATAATTTTGGTACTGTGTCATTGTACTTGTTGGTCTTGAGTTTGTCAGCCTCAGTAGCCAGCAGCTGCCTGAGTTAAGAGAAGTCTCCAGCTTCAGTGGGTTGGGAGCAAGAGGCAGAGCTGAAGCACAAGGTCAAGGAACTTTTACCCAGACCCCAGAGCTGGCACTTTGAACTCAGACTTCTAGCCTCCTAAACTGTAAGAGAATAAACTCCTTTTTGTTAAAGTGCTGAAGCACGAAGATGCCTCTTTGAAGGCTAAGGTGTACCTAACCCAAGCCATAATATGTTCAATAGCTTCATACGCATGTGAAAGCTGGATAATGAATAAGAAAGATCAAAGAAGAGTTGATACCTTTGAGTTGTGGTGTTGGGGAAGAATACCATGAAAATACCACGGACTGCCAAAAGAAATGAACAAATATGTCCTGGAAGTACACCCAGAATGCTCCTTGGAAGCAAGAATCGACAGACTTTGTCTCACCTACTTCAGTCATGTTGTTAGAAGGGGCCATTCCCTGAAGAAGGATATCATGTTTGGAGAAGTGGAAGGCCAGTGAAAAATAGGAAGGCCCTCAATGAGATGCATTGGCACAATGGCTGCAATGATGGGTTCAGGTATAGCAAGGACTGTGAGGCTGGCCAGTGAAAAATAGGAAGGCCCTCAATGAGATGCATTGGCACAGTGGCTGCAATGATGGGTTCAGGTATAGCAAGGACTGTGAGGCTGGCACAGGACCAGGCAGTGTTTCATTCTGTTGTACATGGGATCACTATGAGTCAGAGCCAACTCTATGGTACCTAACAACAACAATAAGGTAGTTGTGGTAGCTAAGGTTGTGTGTCAACTTGGCTTGACATGGTTTAAATGTCTGGGCAGCTGGATGTAGTTATTCCTGATGATGAAACAGGTATTCACTCTAGAGTAGAATCTACTGTGAGTAGCTGCCTTAGGGATGTGGTCTCCTTCCAGTATGTAAGAGGAAGCTTTGAGGAAGGTCTCTAGCTTTTTGGCACATCTTTATCTTGCATTTAGCCAAGTCATCATCCCAGTGGCCTGCCATGTTGTCTGCCAATCTTGAGACTGTTTCTAGACTTGAACTAGTGGCCTGCTGTGTTGTTTGATAATTTTGGTACTGTGCCATTGTACTTGTTGGTCTTGAGTTTGTCAGCCTCAGTAGCCAGCAGCTGCCTGAGTAAGAGAAGTCTCCAGCTTCAGTGGGTTGGGAGCAAGAGGCAGAGCTGAAGTGCAAGGTCAAGGGACCTTTACCCAGACCCCAGAGCTGGCACTTTGAACTCAGACTTCTAGCCTCCTAAACTGTAAGAGAATAAACTCCTTTTTGTTAAAGCCATACACTTGTGATATTTCTGCTATACCAAAAACCAAACTCACTGCTGTCGAGTTGATCCCAACTCATAGTGACCCCTCTTTGGGTTTCTGAGGCAGTATCTCTATGAAAGTAGATTGCCTAGTCTTCCTTCCAAGGAGTAGTTGGTGGGTTTGAACTGTCAGCCTTCTGGTTAGCAGTCAAATGCCTTGGGCACTACACCACCAGAGCTCCCATAGCAGCACTAGAGAACCAAAAGAGTGGCCTTAAATCACAATGAATATAGGAGTCATGGAGGAAGGAAATAATAAGGAAAAAAAATTCCAAAATTTAATGGTTTATAAAATCTATGTTCAGAATATATATCTGTATTCTATAATATAGCTTTTATTACATGTTTATTTTTCATTAAAATGTACAAAATGTATATAAATATTGGTTATATTATAAGAAAATAGCATTGATAGCTGGCAATCAAAAACTTTTGAGGACTTTTAGAGTTGAAGTTTTCAACATTTACCCCCAAACACAACCCATATATTCCTAAAATACACTTCACAATATTCAAGTTCTCTAACTTATGTTACCATTCTAGCCACACACACAGATACAAACACACACACACACACACACACACCAATTGCACTGAAAATACACATGCTGTGTAGAGAATGGACTGTGGCCTCAAAAGTTCCCTCTTGCTTCTCTGTTAGCCTTCTCTGGTGGCTCAAACTGTACATTTAGTAGTAAAGATACTGAGGCATTGACCTTTTTCAGTCTCTTTAGCTTATTATGAAGCATACTCCTCTTTTTTTCACCCCTTATACAATCATGTCACCTCCACGTATATGAAAGACAGCTTCCTCTAAGGTAGTGAGTAGACCCACCTTAAGAGGTGAGTTGAAAAGTGTTCTTTTCAATGTTCTTGGTCACTTGGATGAATGTAGAACAACCCTGATAGCTGCTTTTAACTGTCTCTACATTTTCACCTGGTAACTCAGAATTTTATATTCTTCAGCCATATTCCTCCTCCAATCTGGCTCATAGACCTTACATGAGAAGGTCTGCAGACCTGCTAGACCCTGGGGCCTTAAGGTCCTCTTGGTTCATGCCTTCTCACTTGACTTCAAGTGGGATTAAGAAGAACTGCATTCAAGACAACATGTAATAAGGAACCACAATGGAGAGAATCCCAAGGTGCTTTCTTAGAGCTTATATAAGCCAAAAAATGTCTTAGATTCCTCAAAATTGACCAGAGAGAGTGCAGATACGTTGACATATAAATGGTCATTACTGGTAAGATTAAACACTGCTCCCAGGTAGCTGCTGCGTGCCCACATCTGGCTGGTAGTGCAGTAATTCATCATCCTCTCCTCCATCAACATCAGGTCCTGGGGATATTTAGAGTTCCTCATGTACACTTTGTGGTTCAGGGGCTGGTTGTTACAGGAATAGCCCCGGAAATACACTTTAGAATATACAAAGTACAGTCCAGTGTCATTGATTACAAGGCTGCCTTTCTTATACTTCACCCCAGAGACCAAGGCATTTCCATAGGTGTCCTCCCATTCCAGAGGGATGGATCTTGAGTTGGGCTTTCCTGCAATCAAATCGGAGAGGCTATATCAGCCAGGAATACTCACAATCCAACAAATGAAGCTTCCAAGCCAAAACTGTGGCACTTAACCATGAGTAAATGTTTTACTCAGAATGACATCGCACATATACAACTGGCTGCTGGGTAAGAAATGGATCCATCGCTGAATTCCTTCAATACCTTTGTCAGATATCCTCATCATTCTTTAATTTTATCTTTCACTCAATGGATACAATAAAATATACTCTTAATCAATCCCAATGATTATTTAGATTACTTTAACTGTCTGGAATAAAATTTTTATATCTCCAGAATTTACACCAAAACTGCTAAGTTCTGAAGTCTTCCCATGAAGGGAAAATCCAAATCTAAGGAGTTCTAGAGTCCTAAATTTGGGAAGGACTTTAAGGATCATCTGGTTCAACTCCTTACCTATATTTGTCAACTGGGGCTAAAATCCTATCTCCATTTTATCCTCATAGCATTATGTCAATACCTTGTCAGAGTATTCTTACCAACACTGAAATAATCACTTATGGGTCTATCTTTCCCTAGTAGATTTATAGCTCTTTGAAGGAAGGGACCATGTGTTATTCATCTTTATGTGCCAAGACTTTACACACAGCAGGTGCTCAATAAATGCCTGTTGAACTAAACTGGATCATTTTGTAGTTTCTGCCTAAATAATCCCAGGGACAGTGGTTCACCACTTTCTGTGATATTTACCCCTTTTTTAGATATTTATGGACTTTACACTAGGGTGCCTACCTAGTGTAAATTGTTACACTCCACTACAAAATCCCATGCTGAAAACTCACAAATGCCAGGACTGAGTATCCCTTCTCACTCCCATTTCTACTGTTGGACAAAGCAGAGTGGAGCCCTTCCAAAAAATTAGGGAAGTGCCAATTAAAATAATTCGTTGTTCCTCATCTTCCCAGCTCTCACATCTTGGATCTGGGCCCCAGATTCTTCAAGGGTCTTTGGAATAATTAAAAAGTATGAACTCCCAATTGGTATAACATACTACACAAATCATTGTTCCACCTTCTACTGTGGTGAGGAGCGACTGAGATCTTAAAAGCTTGCAAGCTGCCATCTAGATGCAATGATGGGTCTCTCCTCATCCAGAGCCAAGAAGAATGAAGAAAACCAAAAATTCATGGAAACAATCAGTCCTAGTGACTGGTACACCATCCTATCTGCAGCCTATACTATGAGACCAGAAGAAATAGACGGTGTTCGGCTACTACTGTCAACCACTTGGAAGAGGATCTTTGTAGGAGATCCTGGATAGACAAGGGGAACAATGTGGAACAAAATTCAAAATCATTTGGAAAAAAAAAAAAAGCAGGGAACAGGTATTCTGGCCTGATGGAGCCTGGTGGAACCACTGAGACTATGGCCTCTACCTGCCCTTCAGGTCTGGAATTGAATGCACACCTGTGGCTTCCAGCCAAGCAGTAGACAGGCATACTAGTTGAGCATTTACCTGAGGTAGATACACTCCTTGTACAAGCAAAAGAGAAAGAAGGGCTGCTCAGGCACAGGGAGACAGCTCAGGGGGTAGGAGTGCATGGAGGAATGGTCACAGGGAAGCGGTACTTATCGGGAGGAAGTGGGAGAGGAGATGTGCATTGTGCTAAATTGTGGTCAATGTCATGAGGCAAAGTGTATGTGATCTGCTGTATGGAAAGTGTATTTGCTCTGTAAATGTTCACCCAAATCACAATTAAAAAAAAAAAAAAAAAAAAGTATGACCTCTAGATGGACAGGGATTTTGTCATAAATAGAGTTTAGAACAGGGCCTTGCCTGAGAAGGTGCTCAATCTATGTTCATAAGATTGACCTGACTGTAAAGATGTGACTACTCCTGGGCTCCAAATACTGTCAGTAGAAAGTAACTACTCCCTCAGAGCATAGTAATAGAATCTTGCTTTTCACCAATGGCTTTCCCAAGCCCCATCCTGCACAGGTTCTGCCTTCTATTTACAGACCTGTTAAATGGGCCACTTTCTTCACCTGACGTTTTTCACACGGTAGACTGGGCTGACCTGTATCATAGAAAAATGAAAGATATGTGTAAAAATCAGATACCAACTGTTATTTTCCTAAGACATTAAACAGGGCATTTAAATAAAAGAGATTTTGAAAAACATAAATGACAACAGTCTAACATATACTAATCGTGCAACTCCAAACTGTAGAATTCACAGAAGCCTATATTTCAGAAGGAGCTCTGGTAGTGTAGTGCCTCAAGCATTTGACTGCTAACCAGAAGGCTGGTGGTTCAAACCCACCAGCCACTCTTCATAAGGAAGATAGGGCAATCTACTTCCGTAGTGATATTGTCTTGGAAAGAGGTATCTTTCCAAGGAGGGGTAGCTATGAGTCGGATCCCACTCGATAACAATGAGTTTGGTTTTGGTTTTTCTTATATTTCAGAAACAGAGAGGTAAAAAACAAACCAAATTGAGATAGATATAAGTATAAATTTACATTATAATGCTATAAAACCAAAAATACCAAACTCATTGCCAACTAATCAGATCCAAGTCATAGCGACCCCTCCTTGGGTTTCTGAGGTGGTATCATTACGGAAGTAGATTGTCCAACCTTCCTTCCAAGGAGTGGCTAATGGGTTTGAACTGCCAGACTTCTGGTTAGCAGTCAAATGCCTTAGGCACTACGCCACCAGAGCTTCTCCAATAATGAAATTTAATTAATATTAAAGTTGACTGATAAAGATACTTCTGATATCTAGATAATTTACATACTTCTACCCTGTGAGGTAGTGAATGAACCAATGAGCTTAAAAGTTAGGTGACTTGTCCAAGAAGACCCTGCAATTCAATGTCAGAGATAGAACTGACATTCAGGTCTCCTGACTCCAAATCCATGGCTCTGTCCATTCTACCTCTACTGTCCTTATCCAGTGTGAGATTACCCAATAAACAAGGTAAGCATGGGATTACTTGTGCTTACTTACTAATCTGTAGTCAACAATTTCACATTTTTTCACTACATCACAGATTCTACTTCTAGGTGTGGTTGGCATCTGTCTCTCAGCCCCACAGGACTTTTCTAACAGAATCAAAGCCACTTTGCTAATTTGCAGTCCCTGAAAGGGACAGAATAACAAGTAAGCAGGTGAGTACATGGGCTTACCATATGATGTGGTGAAAACACGTGAAACTTGTTCACTACAGAGTAGTAAGTAAGCACAAGTAAGCTCATGCTTACGTTGCTTATTGGGCCATCCACTCCTGCTTAGGACCCTGCAGGACAGAGACTACAGAATCTGCTAATTCATCTGGCCACCAGGTCTTCCTCAAGTGGCATTCTACAATCTAATTAAAATGGCATTCTATATAATTAGTTATCCTAAAGCACAGTTCTAATCATATCACCAAGGCTTCAAACACCTTTAGTGGCTTCTCACTGAAAATGTGATTATGTACAACTTTCCCACCTTCATGTGATCTCAATCTGTCTGTACAGCCTCATTTCCTCTACTCATTCACACTGGACACTCTCATATCTAGGATTTCTTACCTGAGCTGAATATAGCCCATCTTCCCTGCTTCCATGCCTTTGCTCATGCTATTCCTTCTGACCAAATGCCTTCCTAAACAGGTTTCTTTGTCAAATTCCTAACAATCCTATAAACCCAAACACAATCCCACCACCACTGCCAGCAAGTCGATTCTGATTCATAGGAACGCAATTGGGTTTCCAAGGCTGTAAATCTTTACAGAAGTAGATTGCCTCATCTTCCTCCTGCAGAGCAGCTGGTGAGTTTGAACCACTGGTCTTCTGCCTAGTAGCCAAATATCTTACCGACTATGCCACCAGAGCTCCTTAACAATCCTACAAGAACCATCTAAACTACTACTTTCTTGAAGAAATCCTCCAAGGCCTTTCTAATCAAATGTGATCTTTTCCTCCTTTGAAGCCTGGGTGCCCTCTGTCTTCATCCCTCATCACTTCCACCTGCCCTATTCTATGGTAATTACATTACTTGTCTTATTCTCCGCCAAATAAATAAGAAATTCCTTTACTAGATGTTGAATCCACCTGAGTACTTAACCCAGTTTCTAAGTCAGGGTGCCTGGCCAGTAAATGTTTGCCAAATTGAGTTAAGGAGTTAAAATAGAAAACGGTTCTTAATACGGATAGTATTTCTCTGACTTCAAATACTTCAACCAAGGTAAGATGTTAAAGAAAGATTCAGACAGATGCACATCCACATTAGGCTCATTGTGATTAGCCTATGAAGCTCACATAGGGCTTGAAAATGACCTCATCAACCGAGAACAGTGCCTGAGCAGTCACTACCGCTCTAGCCACACAAGATCACCCACCATGAGTGAGGTGTTGTTGAGCAGGAAAGGCAAAACTGAGTTTCCTCTACATTCCTATAAACTACAAAGCAACTCTGCAGCTGATCTGGCATTCAGTCATATACTGACAGGAAATGGAACAGAGACCACATGTTGCATATCTTTACATCCCACAGTTTTATTCTCATTGACGTTACTCAAAAAAATCTGCTGGATATATACAGCAATAAATAAGGCAGGAAAAACAGCTTGGGCTTTCATGATGATATTTCCTGCCCAAGGATCTTTGCACAAGCCACTCCTATTGCTGGAATGCTCTCCTTCATTTATGTATCTTTTAATAAATTTACTAATTTGATTTCCATATGATAATTAACCACTTTCTGGTTGATCTGCGTTGATCTAGAGAAGATATGCTTCTTGAGGTAGGTAGACCTGAGTCATCTGTTCACTTGACTTTTACTCACTAAAATGACTCCATTGAGTAGGTGAGAGATGAGTAATAAGGTACCTACTTCACCAGCCACATTCCACTGATTTTCAAAGCTTTTTCATTTTAGAAGTCCTCCAAAGGCTTCATTTTTCTAACAAATATTTCCACTCTGATCATTTATATCTAGACTTTCTAACACTTAGGGAGCTGTGGTAGCATAGTGCCTAAGGCACTTTACTGCTAACCAGAAGGTTGGCGGTTCAAACCCACCAGCCACTCTTCGGAAGGAAGGTTGGGCAATTCTACTTCTGTAGTGATACTGCCTCAGAAACCCAAGGAGGGGTTGCTCATAAGTCGGGTCTGACTCAAGGGCACATAACAACAACAACAACACTTAGGGACTTTGACCAAGAACTGGGAACAAGAGAATCCTAACTACTTCTACCAGAGTTTACATTCTAGAGCAGCAAGGTACCTAGGTCTCCTGCAGGAGGTACATCCTAAGAGCTCAAATAGGCTTCACTTAATAGTGCTGCTTTCTATGTTCTTCTCAATTTCCCAGGATGAGAAGTGCCTGTGTGCAGAGGTATCCTGCCTTTCCTCTTTATTTCTCATGCTATGGCCATCCTATAGAGAAAGGCGTTTCCCTATCTTATAAGGCATCAGTCCACATACTGGAAATCCCTGCAGACGGCTAAGAGTCAAGAGCCTGTGTTCTCTCTCCAGCCCCAGGACCTTATCAGTAGTCTTTGGGATATCACCTAATCTGTCCAGTATTTTGTTTCTTCTCTGGACAATGAGCTGCATCAAATAAGTTCTAAGCTCCCTTCCAACTCTAAGCAAATCTAATGAGTTCAATGAATCTTAGTTTAAGACTGTTTGGGAAGATCCTAAAACTTTCTGTCCACCATTTCAAAATCTATGCCTTGAAGATTTATGAGGTCACTGTTCAATATCTTCACCTTCTTCCAGTCCTGGGTCTTATACAAAGGATTTTCCTTTATTAGTGAAGGCAGCACATGACTGTTTCTGGGGATGAAGCTGGACTTTCCTTTGAATTATTGCTTTCTCCACGTTTTCTATGGGTTCCAAAAGAACCATCCTAATGCAGGGGATTGATTACATGTCTTAAATTGATTATATTTATCAAAATCTTAGTTCTATTTTATAAAATATTTTTTAAATGTAGTTTGATTCTTGAAAAATCTCTTTTAGAGAGTTTAAAAAGGAGGGAACATTTCTAAGAATTACCCTCTCTGCTTCTACCTCCCTCTCTCTCCCTAGAAGTTATAGACACTGCCATGGGCACCTGAATCAGGAGGCCTGATAAAGAGGACACAGGCCTGGAGCCAGCAGCTCAGGGGGCAAATTTCAGGGGTATGTGTGTGTGTGTCTCCATCCAAAGTTATAGAAGTTATTTTGAATCGTGTGCAGTGCTCAACTATGCTGATTTTGAACAATTAAATTTATTTCCTATTTTAAAGCAGTGGAAGGAATCATAATGGCCACAGGTTTAGAATTAGCCAGCATCCCTTTTATAGTATGCATATGCCCACAAATGGGAAGGAATTCAACGTATTTCACCAACATGTTTAGTGTGGAGAACTATCTTTGAAAATTCAAAGTACATGCATTAAAGCACTCACCTATTTGCTTCTCCAAAGATGATGCTATATGCTTTTGGCTGATAGACTGGCAAAAGAGAAAGAGAAAAGATGTATAATAAGTATTAAATCCTTTAGTTAAAGGAGACAGGATTGTTATGTAAACCAAGCTCCAGAAACAGAACCAAACACCTCAGAATCTCTCCTAACTCAGACTTTGGCCAAACAGTTGTGCCTCTCTGTGGCTTAGTTTTGTGATTTGAAACAGTACCAGTATTTTTTAAGTATTTTCAAGGAAATTTAATTTGGTCATTTGATCAAATTCACTTCGAAGCAAAACTCAATGTTTCTTTTCTTTTTTAGAATCACTGTGTGTGAGGCAGTAAATAGCTAGGCAGGCTGATTTGCCAACTGAGAAAGGAAGAACTATCAATGCCAATCTTATCTTGGCCTTAATCCTTTACAAAACAAAGGAAAAAAAATCCCTTCACTCATATACACCTCCATTTCTCTGCCTGTAGAATGGAATACCTAGAATAACCCATTTCCAAGAGAGGAAAAAAGAACTGAAAAGCACTTTGCAACAAGAAGGTGGTGGACCACATGAGCCGTAGTGGTCCTCTGCCCCTTCATTGCAGTGGAGCTATCTCTGTGACCCAAGTCCACAGCTACCCACAGTCCAGGCTTACCTCTCTGAGTTCAGCCAGCTCCTTCTGCAGGTGGAAGAGCTGGAACATCCCCAGCCCCAATCCAACTAGGGCCACCAAAACCATGAAAAACATCACAAGGAGACATAGGCCTGTGTTGTGGTTCCTTCTCTTCTTCAGAAGTGATGGTGGGAATGGAGGCAATGGTGGTGGCAGCGGTGGTGGTGGTGGTAGGGGTGGAAGTGGTGGTGGCCTCCTTTGATCAGGCCTTCCAGGCACAGAGGATGGGCAGGGGAGAACAGACCCTGGAGGAGCCCAGGGAGGGCTGGTACTACTGTCCACCCAGTAGATTTGGGGATAAGGGTAATTCAAAGGCTGCCCCATGGCAGCCAGGAACTCCGGTGAGCCTCCAGGCAAAGAATTTTGTTCTTGGTCCTGTGTAGGCTGAAGTGTCAGAGGAGGGGACTCCTGTTGCTAACTGCTCAAGAAAAGAGAAGCCAGAGCTGTCTTTATAGAGTTTCCACAGCCAAGGGAAACACCTCTATCAATCTCTCTTTCTGTTTCTCAGAGAAACACCCACTCATTCGGTATCTGAAGCTGAGAAGCCTCAAGGAGCTCAGAGCAAACCCCTGGAAGTTTCCACCCACAATTTTCTGAAGAAAGCCTTCAAAGCCCCAATTGCTGTAACTATACTGCTGAAAAGGCTAGTGGGTTAGCTTATCTTTCTCAGACCCTGCTGGAGAGGTAAGAATCAGATGCTAGCCCTGTGGGAGTTAACTGCCGCCAACTGCAGGGAGAGTGGCCCATGGAGCATAGTTCAGGTGGTTCAGGGGAGGGGAGAGACCATTGAGTCGTGGCCAGAGGAATCACTTCCATACATTTTGTATGAGCTGCCATCCTTCCCTTAACCTAAGTACTATTTACATTGCAAAGCATCGTCATTTACAGAGGGAAAAAATCTGCCCTACCCACTGTCTAGAGATCAGATCAGAGATTGCAAACCTGTGGCCCATAGGCCTTATAGTACCAGGGCTTCAAACTAGTTCATTCTGGTTCAACTCCTTGATTAGGATTTGTGTTTCCATCCCAGATAGACTGAATCCCCAAATGATTTTAATAAGATTCCATAAACATAAGTATCACTTGGAGGATTTTGTTAAAATGTAGATTCTGATTCAGTATAAACCCAAAAAACCCACTACCATCAGAGTGGATTCTGACTAAGGGTGACCCCATAGGACAGAGAAGAACTGCTCCATAGGGTTTCCAAGACTATAAATCTTTATGAAAGCAGACTGCCAGAGTTTTCTCCTGCAGAGCAGCTGATGGGTTCAAACCACTGATCTTTCAGTTAGCAGCCAAATGCTTTAACCACTGTGCCACCAAGGCTCCTTGATTCAGTATCTGGGGTGGAAATACAAATTATTGGGGGTGGGGGGAATGGGGTCAAACTGGAATTAACTGATTCAAAGCCCTGCTCCCTGGCCGCTATGGGAATTTCTTTTTGCAGCTCCTGTTAGGGTTGACAGATAAAATATAGGACACCCAGTTAAATTTGAATAACTGAATAATTTTTAGCGTAAGTATGTCCCAACTACTGCACAGAGCATACTAAAACAAAATTGTTGCTGCTTTGAAATTCAAATTTAACTCTTGAACTCACATATGGCTTTGATCATAGTCATTAAAGACGGTAAGTTTAAATATTTACAATAATCAGCTAGAAAATATAATTGTAAGATTTCCACCATAACAAAAAGACTTTAAAATATCCTAAAATAATTCTAACAAGTATTGTATGGATCTGTATTTTAAAAAATATAAAAAGTTTTACTGATAATAGCAAAGATTCAAACATATGAAAAAATAGACCACATCCTGGGTGGGGAGGTATCTTAGTTATCTGCTGCTGCTATAACAGAAATACTACACATGGATGGCTTTAAAAAACAAAATTAATTCTCTCACAGGTTAAGAGGTTAAAAGACCAAATTCAAGGCACTAGCTCAAGGAGCTCTGGTGCCTAAGGCACTTGACTGCTAACCAGAAGGCTGGTGGTTCAAACCCACCAGCCACACCTCTGAAGGAAGATTGGGCAATCCTATTTCCATAGTGATACTGCCTCGGAAACCCAAGGAGGGGTTGCTATGAGTCGGGGCCAACTTGACAGCAAATAACAACAACAGCTCAAGAGAAAGTCTTTCTCTCTCTGTCACTTCTGGAGGAAAGTCCTTATCTCTTTTCAACATCTGTGAGCCTGGAGTTTCCTTGGAGATCTCCACATATCTTGGCCTCAATCTTCTGCTGGGTCTAGGAGTTTCCTAGCACAGGCACCCTGGGTCCAAAGGATACACTCTGCTCCTTACTCTTCTTTCTTGATGATAGTAGATCCCTCTGATCTCTGCTCACTTGTTTAATCCCTTTTATATCTCAAAAGAGACTGACTCAAGATACAGTCTAATCCTGTAGATTGCAACTTGCCTCATTAACATAACTGCCTCTAACCCACGTCATTAAAATCACAGAGGTGAGGATTTATAACACATAGGATTATTTCATCAGGTCACAAAAGAGAGGATAATTACCTAATACTGAGAATCATGGTCCAGCCAAGTTGACACATATTTTGGGAAGACACAATTCAATACATGACAGAATAGAGAGGTAGTAGTACATGATGGTTAAGGACAGGCTCTGGAGTTAAACTGCCTGGGTTCAAATCCCAGCTCCACCGCTTATTATCTGTGTGAACTGGACAGGACACTTTATATTTACATTTTCCATACCTCAGTTTCCTTATCCCCAAAAAAAGGGTATAGTCATAAGAGTACCTACTTTACAGGGCATTGTGAGGATTAAATGAGTCAATGTATTTGATACACTTAAAAGAATACCTGGCAACAAAGTAAAACCAAAAATAAATAAATAAAAGCTGTTGCCGTCAAGTCAGTTAGATTTCTGGTGACCACATGTATTTCGGAGTAGAACTGTGCACAGGATTTTCAGTGGTTGATTTTTCAGGTGTAGATAGCCAGGCCTTTCTTCAAAGGTGCTTCTAGATGGACTTGAACCACCAAACTTTCTGTTAGTTGGTTTCCAAATGAACTACTGCGCCATCCAAGGAGTCAGGCAACAAAGTAAGCCCTCAGGAAATGTTAGTTGTTGTTGAAAACTTATCAAATCTCCCCTCAAATAATTCATCTATAGACTTAATGGAATTGACCTTCTTCTGTGAAAGATACACAAGGTGGGAAGAAGACAGGGTTGGCAGTGAGAAGTGCAAAGTCAATGCTTGGCATCTAACATCTCTCAGAGACTTCACCATTGGACTGATGGATCCTATGTCTCAGGCTAGAACCCTCTGCTTTTTTATCACAAACTTCCACCAAAGCTTCCACGATTCTCCAGTAAGAATTATGCTATATTGAAAGAACAGCAAGAAAAGCCTACAGTCACCAGAAGGAAGGAAATAATCAAGATTTGAGCAGAAATCAATGAAACAGAAAATGGAAGGGCCATAGAAAAAATCAACAAGACCAGAAGTTGGTTTTTTGAAAAGATCAATAAAATTGACAAACCACTGGCAAATTTAACAAAGGAAAAGAGGGAGATAAT